GACAGGGAAGGCTGGGTATGTGAACTGTCCTAGTTCTGTAAGTTCTCTTTCGGACACTGAAGTTTAGATGCCTGTAGACATCCATGTGGAGTTACTGGAACAGATCTAGAATTCTGAACCAGGCATAGTGGCGCATGCCTGAAATTCCAGTACTCAGAAGGCTGAGGCAGGAGGATCACAGTGAGTTTGAGGCCAGCCTGGGCTACACAGTGAGTTGAAGGCCAGCCTGAACTACAGTAAGACCCTGTCTGAAAAAACAAAACAAACAATAGCAACAAAAAAGATAACCAGAGTTCTGGAAAGGGCCAGGCTGGAGAGATCAAGCTGAGAGTCACCTGCCACAGATCGCACAAAAGTCCCTGGCCTAGATGCCGCCTGGAGAGAGATGGGGCAGGTTGCAGACCCTGGTATGCTCCAGTACCTATGGAGGGGAAATCTCAGCACTGTAATTCCTATCAAAGCTCATGGTAAGCTGGGTGTGGTAGGGCACGGCTGTAATCCCACCACTCAGGAGGCTGAGGCAGGAGGATTGCTGTGAGTTCGAGACCAGCCTGGGCTACCTAGTGAATTCCAGGTCAGTCTCACTACACAGTGAGACCCTGTCTCAAAAAACCAAAAAAAAAAAAAAAAGCTCATGGTAGAATCATGATGACTTAACACAAGCTGGAAGTTAAATTCATACCCATATTATTGACCAAATTAGATTAATGTAATTTCACAAAGCAGCCACATCCGGAGAAATCCTGTGGCGATTCAGGAATTATTAAAATCAATACACATAACACAGCCATGCAAAGAATCGTAATGAGGGTTATAATTTTACAAGACTACAGAAGCTTGCCTTTAGTACGCACTAACCAAGAAAAGAAAGGGTTGCCTGATGCGGAGCACTTTTGGCTGAGCTGAAAAATAAAGTAATCTAACATATTTGAGGACTCTTACACTTCTACCAAAGAATGTTTTGGCACAATCTACTTGCATGTATGTTTGTATGTATTTATTGGTACTGGGGATCACACTTGGGACCTTGCACTTGCTAGACACTAGCACTAGCACTTACCACTGAGCTAAATCCCCAGCCTGGCACAATCTACTTACCGCAAGCATAGAGATTAATAACATTTCACTTAAACCCCAAAATGAAAATACCTTCCCAAAGCCCCATTCAAAGCCTCTAACTTCTCCCCAGGTCCACAGGGGACCCTAGAATGTCCACGCTGTAGGACAGGCTGCGCAGAAACACAGTGGTGCTTTCTAATAACTGCGTGAAAGCGGCTCTAAGGGACTGAGTAAAGTCGACACTTAGAACAAAACATGCACTTCAGAACACAATGAAAACCTTCAAAGAAGTCTGGTTGCCCAAAAGGTGGTCCTAGAGGTGGCAGTAAGAGAAGTATCTGAGAGCTTACTAGAGACAGAATCCCAAACCCCCCCCCGGGGGGGGGGGCAGCTGAGCACCCTGGGGCCGAGGCTGTGCAGGTGTGGGTGTGGGTGTGGGTGGCCTGGACCTCAAGTCCCTTGACACTACCGTGTCAGAATGGTCATTAGATAACTGCGATACTCAAAATCTGACACAAAATACTTTGCTCCAGAAGCAGCAGCATAATTGATTTGTGAGAAAGGAATGTTTGTGCCATTCAGTGGAGGGAAATGTTTATGTTAATAATCCCAGTGGGCGGGGTTGGAAATCCAGCCAAAGGCCTTAGCTCATCCTAAGCGCAGCTCTAGCACAGAGCTATGCCCACAGAGCCCCCTTGTCTGAAAAGTTTTGTATACACAGCACCCACATTAAATAAAGTCAAAACTTATAACCAAATATACTCAAAAAGTTAATCACACATATTAAAATATATTGGTGAAATTTTCTTGTGCTAGAACACTAATATCATGTAGTACCAAGGTCTATGAAACAAAAATAAAGGTCATGGGACAAAAATAAAATCACGACTTAGTGAAAAACTATGTATATATATATTGGTGAAATGTGTGGTAAGCAAAGTTTTACTACTTGTCTATCGCAGTTGTTTAAAAGTTTCTCTTAAAAATAATAGCCAAGATAGGTCACGTAAAGGTACAAGATCCCAATGATGAATATAACTGTACTGTATACCTAAAATGTACCAATAAAAAAATATTTTAAAAAAGCTTCTCTCACTAGGTATGGTGGTGCAAGCCTGTAATCCCAGAACTCAAGAGGCTGAAGCAGGAGGACTGCCACAAGTTCAAGGTCAGGCTGGGCTACCTCGTGAGTTAGAGGCCAGTCTGAGACCCCCCTCTCAAAAAAACCAAAAAAAGGCACTGCTCATCCATGCACAAATCATCCCCAGCATAAACACACCACCCTTTCCCTTCCACCAAAGTTGTTCAACATTTGGTTCACTTATGTTTGGGTTTTTTTTGTGGTACCAGGGATCAAACTTGGGACCTTGCGCTTTCAAGGCAGGAGGACTGAACCACTGAGCTAAATCCCACTTAAGCTTTGCTTCTGCTACACATGTGTTATAAACATGATGAGGAACAGTAATTATCATAATAATGACAGCTTACTGGCATTTATCAGGGATTTTCTTATGAGTCCAGGGTTACATAACTGTGTATACATCAGCCCATTTTTCAGAAGAGAAAACTAAAGCTTGCATTCCCTTAACAGTCCTAGGTCACATGACCAACAAATTGCAGAACCAGAATCCAAACCCCATAGCACTGTCCCATGTGGTGGAGAAAAGAGTTGATATAAAAATACTGATCAAGCTGGGAGTGGAGGCGCACACCTGAAATCACAGAACTCCAGAGGCTGAGGCAGGAGGATGGCCGCCCTCAAGTCTGAGGCCAACCTGGACTATATAGTAAGACCTTTTTTCTCACCTCTCCCTCCAAAAAAAAAAAACTAATAATGAAGGAAGTTGGTTTCCAGGGACTTACTAAAATATTATCATTCAAATAGCACTTAACAAGGGCCAGTTGCTACAAATCCTTTTGCTTTCTTTCCCTCTCCTTTCGATTTTATTTTATTCTGACCCCAAATATTCCTAGCTAAAACGCTCACTGCTGATTCTTTTCCCTCCCACTGTACACTTGTGATGAATCTAAAGCAACTGTGAATGGGTGTCCAAAGGAGAGGGCCAAACTCCCCAATCCAGCCCAGTGCAGACGCCTCAACTTAATGTTAATGGGGCTTCAACACCCCCAGAAGATTAATCAGCACAGTGGGGACCCCCGAGAACATAAAGGCTATTTGGCGGGAGTGATGCCTCACTGCAATCTTCTTTCCTGTGATTACACCTCATTTTATAACAATGTTCAGACATTTGGTTTGAGCAAGTATAGTAATTACATTTCTCACTTTCAACTAATTTAAGCAGCTACATCTGAGCTCCTCCAACAAGTCCTCAGGCTTCTCCGCCCTCCTCCTCCCACCCAAGCACTCCAGTTGAAGCACTCCAGCTGGCAACCAAGGCCATTGCAGAAGGCCCAGAAGGCCGAAGGTGCTCTCAGCAATTCCCAGGACCTCTCCAAGCCGACCTTGAGGTGGGCAGCCCCCCCACTCACCCAGCACCCACCTAGATGAGCCCAGCAGAAAAAAAACCAGATTGACCAGACTCTCCCATCACCCAACTGTGCACATTAAGCTGCCTGTCTCGCAAGAACAAGGACCCGAGTTCAATTCCCGGTACCAAAAAACAAAACAAAAAAACCAACTGTGGGCGTTGGGCTTAGCCCCCCACACCTGCATTCTCCTCTTTAAAATGGTGCCTATATATGTTGTCGAAGGACTGTCCTTTGGGATCGCCCAAGGTGGCAGGTTCACCAAGCCACAGAATTAGAAAATCCCCCTAACTGTACAGGCAGAGAGGAAATGCAGACACACCAGGATTTCCTAATACTGCCCATCCACAAACCTTCCAACCTTCAACCCCTTCTTCTAATTCACTCTTTCTTCACTGCAGTTTAGAGTGACTCAAAATGCTAAAGACAGAAAGCAATAGCAGCTCCAGCTCCAAAACAAAGAGCCTAGGTTTGCTAGATGGGCCCCAATATTCTACTCACTCAGGTCTGTGCATTCAACTTTGGCTCCAAGTTTGAAATGAGATCTTAAGAGAGGCAGTGACCAGGGCCTACCTTGGTTTTAGAAATGAAACCAGTCCGGTCATACTTTTGTGCATTACATCTGTGCTGGCCTGACATTTTATCTCTGGGAGAAGTTTGGGTTTTTTTTGTTTGTTCTGTTTGTTTCTGGGTGATGAGGAGGCAGCGACCACACTTCATTTCCTCCTGCTTGGCAGATCAGCCACCCTGCTGCCCAGAGGGCCAGGTCAAAAGTAGTTAATATCAAGTTCTCCTTCCCCCAGCTGGAAGCTGGCCCAGTCCACCAGACTGGCCTGATAAAGCAAGGAGCTGCCACTTCCTAGAGATTAGGGTCCCCTTCTCCCCAGCGCTCAGCTCAGCTCCCTGCCTGGGCTCACACTGGCTTCTGAAAACCAATCAGCCAGTGGAAAGTTTAGTATCTTTCTCAAGTGAGGCATTCTGCTACTTTATTCTTGGCTAAAAGTCCCAAGACAGAAAGTCTGCGACCTCATCGCTAATGTGAACAATTTAGATTCTCAAATAGTAGCACCTCCGTAATGAGAACTTGAGGTAGTTATTAGAGTGTGAGAGTGTGTGTGTGTGTGTGTGTGTGTGTGTGTGTGTGTGTACTGGTGGGGCAGACGGGAGGATTAATACCTACCCTTGAATTCAAGGACAACAAAAATACAGTGAAAACCCACTAAATGACAACCTTCAGGGCCATTTAAATTGTCCTCATCAACCAGATGTGTAGCAAGAGGGGCTCGAATCTTCTCTATGTGGCCAGAGAAAAGCATGAATGCTGCAGGCAAATCAAAGAGGTGGGGCCACAGCATGAAGTCTCAGCACAGGGTCAGGGAGGGAGCTGCTGACTTAAAGCCCATTTTTTGGCTGAGTCTTTGTGTGCAATGACTGTTGTACACACTCTCACTCACCCCATAAATGTAGATTTTGGGGTCTGGTTGGCTTAAATCAAAACATCGACTGTATTTGTTCTCTTGGGCTGGATCACGTTGTTCTTCCTCTGGGGGAGACACAATCTGAAAAGGCAAGCCACAAGCAGCCGCTCAAAGTCCATTCTGAGGATGTGCTCCCGAGGGCTCCTGGGTGACCCCACGAGTCTGGGAGTAGGATGCACACGTTAGCTATACTTCTACTTTCTACGGCAAACAATAAAAAATGGCAAAAGCTGGGAAAGGGAGCCAGAGAACTAAAAGGGCAGGGAAAAAAAAAAGGAAGCTCCTCAAAATGATTAGGACCTGGCTGTGTGTGAAGGTAGCTCCCCATGTCACCAACCCAGACCACACCCCCTGTCCTCTTCCATTTCTTTCCCTGGCCCCTCTGGCATCTTGCAGAGTCTATGGAATTCAATGTCACAAGCAGGGGAGTGGCTGTAGGTCCCCTGCGTATTAGTCACCTGGCTTGGATGGTATTTTTCTGTCTGTTTTCAGCTCAAGGTAGTTCTTCCTGGGGCCTTCTTTCTTGTTGGTTCTATCTTTCAAGACACTAATCAAAGGAGCAAGATCCTCCCTCTATCCTGACCCCTGGGCCCACTCAGTAAGACTGGGTAGCCAGGTACAGTGGTGCACGCTGAAGTTGAAACAGAAGGATCTCTGTGAGTTTGTGGCCTGTGCTACATAGCGAATTCAAGGCCAGCCCAAACCAAATAGTGAGATCCTGTTTAAAAACAAAACAAAACAAAAAAAACCCAAACCAAACAAGTCCGGGTGACCCTGCTTTCTAGGGACTTCCAATGTGTCAAGACACTGCAGTGGGCACCGTCATGTGCTGCATCTGACTTAACGGCCTCATGGTGTTCATCCCATTGGACAGCCAAGACAGCTCGTGTGTAAGAGAATATGCAAGTGAGAGGCAGAGAGGCAGGACTTGGGTTAGCTCGCCTGCAGTGGCCACAACTGTTCCCGGCGAGATACCCTGTAGTCCGTCTTCTCTGAACTGGTCACAGAGCTCCAGGCAGACTGCTCTGACCAGAAACCAGGGAGACCCCAGTCCCTGGCCCCAGAAACGAGCTGGTGACACAGTAGGATAGCGCTTCCTTACCCATAAGTAGTGTCCCAACACTGCCTTTCATACCAATTCCTGATCCCTTAATCCCCACCCTGGGGGGGGACCAACAACTAACAGTGGGTAATCTCAAAAGCCACAGATCCATACAGGATGGCTTCTCCATGGACCAAGAGCACGCACACATCCATGTCTTCACTGCAGCAGCCCAAGAAAGGGGGACCTCAGCACTTTTACTCTCAAAGACAACAAGGCTCACTGAAAATCCTGACAGTTCATCCCTGGGTCACACAGTGAACAGGCAGCAGTTACGTGCGTCTTGGTTCAGAGGTGTACTGACCGGCACAGTAGCCCCTGCCACAGGGGGTGACTGAACACATGAGAACAGATGGGCCCCAAGTGCAAGACACTTGTGCTGCATTTCATGGGTGTAGCACGAGAAAAGGTCAGACACATTGTTTTCGGTGCTGGGGCATGAACCCAGACCACACTGAGCTACGTTTTCCAGCTTTTAAAACATTTTTATTTTTAAGCCAGGCATGGTGACACAGGCCTGTGATCCAAGCACTAGGAAGGCTGAGGATCACAAGTTCAAGGCCAGCCTGGGCTACATAGTGAAACACTGTTTCAAAAAGCCAAAATAAATAAATACATTAAAAAAAATTTTTTTTTAAATTTTTGAGACTGGGTCTTGCTAATTGCCCAGGGCTGGACTTGAACTTGCATTCTTCCTACCACAGCTTCCAGAATAGCTGGGGTTACAGGCATGTGCCGCCATGTCCAGCTATATTTAAATACTGATTAAATGTTGAAATGATAGTTTTTGAACACACTAAACAAAATATTTATAAAATTAATTACACCTGTTTCTATTCCCTTTTAAACATCACTAACAGGGCTGGGGATTTAGCTAAGCGGCACAGTACATGCCTGGCAAGTGCGAGGTCCTAAATTCGATCCCCAGTACCCCCCCACCAAGGCCACTATCAGATCACTTCAAGATGCATGTGTGGTCTGCCTTATGCTTCCACTGGACAGCACTGGTCCAAATTCTAGCTTTTTCCAAGTCCTACCACTTCCTAAAATATAGCTCTTAGCAGTTTAATCTTAAGAACTATTTGAGACATACTATTTGATAGTCTAACCACATCTTATAATTAGAATTTTGTGTCTGATGAAGTTTTTTGTTTGCTTTTGTTTTTATTTGGTTTTGGTGGGGTTTGTTTGTTTGCTCGTTTGTTTTTTGAAACAGGGTCTCACTATGCAGCTCACCATGTAGCCATCCTGGCCTCAAATTTGATTTGCCTCAAATCCTCTTGCCTCAACCTCCTGAGTTCTGGATTATAGGCATGCACTGAGAGGGGCTGTTCCTGGCCCCCATAAAAGCGTCTCAGGTTGGACTCCCACGTTCCATGTGACAGGGTGTACCTGCCCATGCGAGGATCTTAGCATCACTTGTGGGATCTGAGTATACCTCTCAGGCACAGTCCTCTTTTTAAAAAGCACTACTTGTATCCACATCTCAACTTTTTAACCTCAGGAGATATAAAAAAACTGAAAGAAAACCCTAGCTTTTCTTTCTTTCCCGCCCCCGCCCCCGCTAGCTTTTCTTAAAGGATGAGGCTCTTCATGGTAAGAAGGTAGGCAGAGTGTGGCCACCCACTGGGTCTTTGTGGAAACGAAGAGCTGGCCAGGGTCCCATGGTCCCAGCCCAGAGGACCCAGGGCTTTTGGATTCTGCTGCCTCCAAGTGGAAAGCTAGCAGAGGTAATCTAGATTGCTGCCACCTCTAACCCTGTGGGTTTGTTTTTCATCCAGCATTTTCCACTTTTGTTATAATCATTGTCATCAAACTGAATCAGCTACCTTTGTGTAACTTTGCTTTCAAGTCATGCACTGGGCTGGGCTTGTGGCCTCTGTTACCTCATCTGCTCCTCCACAGCCAGCCTTTAAGGACCCAAGAGCAGCTCTTTTGAAAGCAGTATCGCTGGGTCTCCTTCCCTTCCTTCCTAAAGTTCCCATGATGTGCCCCGCAGGGGGGGCATTTTGATCAGTTGCAAAAGTGTTAACATGGCATCACTTAATAGTGTGCCTGAATTACATACTTTGAAACAGTACTCCCACAAGGTGACATGACAAATAGCCTTTGTACTGTACCTGTATGCTGTGAGCAGCCACCCATGTGTAAATTGTGTGAAGTAAGTAGTATGAAGGGACTTGTAAAACTAAACTACAACTGGGGACAAAAGTGGTAGATGGAATGCTGGTTAGCCTAAAAAGCTCACTTCCTTTCCTTAATTGGCTTCTGTCTTAGTGTTAATTGGCACTGAGTTAAGTGCCTTTCATACAAATCTAGAAAAGCTGACCTTTGGAGCCCTGGTGACTTGTTGGGTAAATATGTCTTTATGGACTCCATAAAATGCAGATCATGTAAACACACACTCAGGAACTATTAAAAGCACTGGGTGGCTACAGCAGGACACAAGGGTGGCCTTCAAAATTCCTGGGTACTCAATAGTTAGACATTAAAGAAGAAAAGTGAACATCAAGGCTACAATTCCATTTAGAAAGTGGATCACAAACTTTGGCTTACAGCAGAAGAATCACCTGGGGATTATTTCAAAAATGCAGGCTCCTTGGCCCCTTGTGGAGAGGCTGGTTCTGGAGGTCTAGTCTAGGCGGGCCTCAGACATCTGTACATTAACAAGCCCTCCGACTGAGTAGGTGGTCCAGGAGCAGTTTCAAGAAGTGACATTACTGCTGTGAGCAGCTTACTCACTTTCCCACACACCAGGGAATATAAAAGCCCAGAGTCCTTCATCTAGAAACAGAGATCCTTGGAGCAAGAGGGACCCCATTCCCCAGCCATGCCTAGTAAACCAAGAGCCAACAAACTGCCCAGCAAGTGACTATCAAAGGCACCACAAGGATCTTTTTTCTCTGCCCCTGTCAAGGGGACAGCTATCTGTGCCTCAAAACACACATCCTGAGGGTCACCCACACATGCACACATTTTCCAGGCCAACAGCCTTGGGCCTTTACTCTGACCACGGCCCCAAAGCCATACTGCATCCAGAGAGGCAAACACCCACAGTGTCTCAGAGGCTATGGCCCCCAAAAAAGCATCTCAGGTTGGGCTCCCATGTTCCATGTGACAGGGTGTACTTGGCTGTGCTCAGGAGACCAGGCTGACCTATGGCCACAGGAGGAGGAGAAAGCACTTCGGTGTCCCCAGGACAGTCAGCTTGATGAGAACTGGCACTGCTGCAGAGGGCCGTGGTTCCTTCCACAGGACTCGCTGAGAAGCCCTTGCACACTCAAGTCACTGTGAACGTGGAAGCTGCAGCCCCTTATCAAGCACGAATCCAAGCAGAAACTGGGGCAGCCGTGGGAGGAATGGGAGTCCCTCTTGGTTCCAAGAACCAAGATTCCTGGGGCCCCATCCCAGTCTCTGGAGGGGTTATGCACATCTATCACAAATAACCCCAACCCCAAAGCTTATCGGAGTGGCTGTCACAACATTTGTTTTTTCTAGCTGATAAGACTGACAAATTAAGTACTCACTGTAGTAGATTAAAGTATTCCCAAGGCCAGAAAGTGTCAAGCCTATAAACAGATCATGAATGAGTATAAATTTGCAACAATCAAGAATGAGTACTTGTTAGTAAGAGTCAGTGTGTCATTTTATTGAAAATTTTAAAAAATCTATAAATCGTTAACATTCTCAGTTCTAGCGGTACAGCTGCTTCAGAGAGGCTACCAATGCAATTTACCAACATACTACTGGTAAAACCACTTGTAGAGGGAAATGTCAAGCCATTAAAAAAAGTGGGGACCTTGCATTCTCAAGTTGCTTTTGCATAAGGGTGAACTGCATCATGCACTCACTCTACATAGGTTTGTTTGAATTAAGTGATTTTTATTATGTTTTAAATTTTGAGACAGGGTCTTATTGAGTCACTAAGGTGCCTGGGCTGGGCTTGAACTTGTGATTCTACACCCTCAGCCTCCCAGTG